TAGATAGTGGTGTGTAGTTATTATGGTGTAATTAAATCCCTATTATTTTGTAATTATTTTTTAAAAGGTAACTATATAATGTTTAATTTAATTAATAATAATTACAGAGTTTTGTTTAAAAAGGTAACTTAAAAAAAATGTAATAAAATAGTTTGGTTTGAAAAAGGTAACTTAAAAAATTAATTTAGTTAAATAGTTTGGTTTAAAAAAGGTAACTGAATAATAAATAAAATTATTTAAATAAATTAATTATTATTTAAATAATTAATGAGAATTTTTTTTAATATATTTTTTATTGATATGCTATAATTCGAAAATAATATGCTTTAAGTAGTTTATTATCAAAAAGTATGTTTATAACTTGATATTTATCATCTTAAATGTGTGTGGAGTGTTATTTTTATTTTTAAAAAAATGATATCTAAACAAATATTGGGCACGTTCGTACATGGCATCATTTGTCCAGTTTCATCTTAATTCATCAATAATAATGACTTATCTTTGTCCAAAATAGACAGTACTAAGTTATTAATTCATCAATTTATGGATATTCTTAGCCCTTCACTTGCAAACAAGGATTCACTGCTTGAAGCTCACTTAAAACGAAATAGTTTGCATGGTCAAGTTCAAACAAACATAACGAGCTCTAATTATCGAGTTTGTTGGATTTAAGTGGGAACAGTTTTGATCCACCGTTGCCAAAATTGAAGGATAGTGTGAAAGTCAATACGGATGAATATGCATGTTTTGTTTCTAAGTAATTGTATTATGGTTGAATTAGTTGGACATTGAACTGTTAGAGATTCTAATCAATAAGGCTGAAATGTTACACATTGTGAATATTCTTGGCCAATTAGTTGTGTGTTGCACTATTTCTTTTTTATTTTTCTTGTATATATACTTCACATAAATATATAATAATATATATGTGATTTTTTAAAAAAAAATTATTATGTACTAAGTGACAAGTGATACACGTAAAATGAACAAAATGCACAAACAATGCACGAGATGTACATGTCATGCACGTTAATCTGTTTTTATCTTAATATGCTTGAGAAATTACTTAAGGACTGACTTTCGTCCATCAATTCTATTAAGCTATCATTGGACAAGGCTCACAAATAGAAGAAAGGTTTCACTTCTATTACTTTTACGTGATACTGCTGTTGAAAATCTTATTCGTTTTATAAGGAAAAAGCTATTGTGAAAAGATATACTTTCTTTTAAGGAGAGTGATGCTCAAAATACTTATGCAAAAAAGGTTTTATTATTTAAATTATAATGAGTCTAATATGAGTATTTTATTTTGTACATTTCTTAGGATTTTGTACTCAGGTTTATTTCTATTTTATGACTGATAAAAGGCCCTAATATGACCGCTAGGGAAATTTTTTACTATAATTGAGGTATACCAATTCATACTTGTATGAGGGTATTTTTTTAATTAATTTTAATGTGATATATGGGCCTACAATGTAATTTAACTTTTCCTCAACCATTTTTTTTTATCTCTTTTGAAACCAATTTTATTACTATCCTATTTTCACTTTGCTTATTATAGAAATAACATTTTCTTTTCTCTTATATATTTTATCAAATAAAAAATATATCTTATTTTAAATAATTATTTTATCACTAAATAAATGCATAAATTATTAATACTCAAACTTCATATTTTAAAACATAAATAACAAGACTAATTAAATAAAATAAGCCTCTAATAAAAAGGCAAGTGAATTTATATATAAAATAAATAATGGAACACATACTATTAAATTATATAATATTGGCATAGAAAATATGAGTATTACTATTATTATTATTATTATTATTATTATTATTATTATTATTATTATTATTATAATAATAATAATAATAATCGTAACAATCATATTTTCTGTGCCAATAATATATAATTTAATAATATGTGTTTCACCATTTAATTTGTATATAAATTTACTTGCATTTTATAAGAGGTTTATTTTATTAAATTAGTCTTATATTAGTTAGGTTTTTAAATATTAAGTTTGAATATTAATATCTTATACATTTATTTAGTGAAAAATAATATAAAAAATATGTAATTTTTATTAATAAGATATATAAGAGAAATAATTTTTTTTCATGGTAAGCAAAAATAAAATGGGTTTCAAAATAGATACTAATAAGAAGATAGAAAATGGAAAAAAAAAAACATGAAAGAGATGTAGCGTGGTCCCTAATTCACATTTACTTAATATTTTATTAATATATTTAATGAGATGTAGTGTGGACTTCATATTTTCTTTTTAATTTTTCAATTAAAATTTGTATTCGATTTCTTTAGCAAATATAAAGGACAAATTAGACTCATAGTTAATGCGAATGGATCCTCATACAACTATTATCGATTGTACCTCGCTTAAAATAAAAAAATTCAATTACTAACCCCTTGTTACAACGTTTCACACCCTGATATATTTGTATCACATGTTTTTTTTTTAACTATTTATGTCATATGGAATGTCAAGTTAAAAAAAGTAGTTAAAATATTATATTATGATAATTTAAAAGTTTAGTTGGTAAAAATTTCAAATAGAAAGAATGTGGAATACACATTCATACAAAACAAATTCGTTAGACCATTTCGATTAACATTAACTCATAGTTACATTTATTACTTTGGGTCAGCCGTACGTGGCGTGTGACCAATTTGAGCAATGCACTTGCTATGTTTTTTTTAAAATGTATTTCTTGTCAAATTGGAGTGTGCGTTTTTGGGCGGAAATTTAAATGGGAAAATTACGCCACAAACATCTAGAATAGATTACGTAATATAATCAAATTTTGAATATTTTTAATTTGCAATTTTAGTATTGCAAATTTTTGCTATTCAGTTTTTAATTGCATAAATTTAGAATTTGTATAATTTGATCCCTAATTTTATAAATTCATAATTTATATAATTTAATTCTTGATTGTATTAATTTAAAATTTGTTAGTTATTTACATACGAATTATGAAAAATTCATAATAAATTATCATGTTATATATTGCCAAACAAAATATTTATAAATTAAATCACATTAAAAACTTTTTTGTATACAATATTTTAAAAATTCTATACATGTGATATTGTTTTTGTTTGAATTAGTTTGACTTTTTTTTATAGTTAAAATCAAACCAAATCAACTATAATTGATTTTTTTTTAAATAATAAACCAAGTTAATTAAATCACCAATCGATTTTTTTTTGAATTTGACTCATATTATCGATTTGATGTAGTTTGTCGGTTTTTCTTGTACACTCCTAAGTGAAAAACTTGAAAAAAGATGGGTATTGTTGGAATAGCATGAAAATAATGAAAAATTACCCTGGATGCAGAATGAATTGTTAGATTTGTTATTGTTTTGACGAATTGATTATTAGAGTTTGTACTTTATGTAATAATGAAACCTATGTTTCAAATTTGAGCTTATTTAAGATAAATTTGAGTGTCGAATAATGCGTTTAATGATAAAAATCCAACAAATAAATTATTAGTTAGATGAAAATTTATTTACTTGAACGCCATACAAAAATGCTTGAAATAACAAAATAATGCACTGATCTCATACGAAAATGTTTGAAATTGAACCCTGCCAAGGCAATATCTTTAGTAAAAATATCTGAAATTAGACCTTGCCAAATATATATATTCCATCATCTCTTATTCAAATACTTCAAAACTTTCATTAAATATATGAAACGTTGTCAAAGTTCATAATGTTATTCGAGGAATATTTGAAATAATAGATTTTTGATAAGTTATATCAAACTTCAGGTATAATTAAAATGATCGATGTTTAGTCTTCATAAGATCATACTTCAGACAAGAATATCTAAAGTCATATCCAAAATTTTCAACTTCAATAGTATACGGTAATTTGTGCACTTTGCCCAATAATTTCAACTTCAATAGAAAATTTTTCCAAAGGGATAATTTTTTTTTAACTTCTATAAAATTAAATTAACGACGATCCAAAAAAAATATTTGTGCCCCATATCTCAGTTTCAAAAGCTCCCATCTTATCCATAAAACTAACTAATTCGTGGAACATGGACAGATAAGTTTTATATGTGTATATATATATATCAACAAGTAAGATTCCTCCGAGTAGAGAACAACCTATCAACATGCATGATAAATTAATACAACTATATTTAATTTGAGTAGACATATAAAAAAAATTTAGAGAAGAGACTTTTGAAATATATTGTTCAAAATAAGTTGTAGATATTTATGTAATTATAAATCTAACAATAAATCATCTTATTAAGGATAAAATGGACTTTTAAAAGTTAATTTATTACTCTTTATTTAAAAAAGAATGACGTACTCAGTTTCTTTTTTAGTCTGTTTTACAAAAATGACCTATTTCCTTTTTTGGTAAATAATTTCCATGTGACATGTGTAATACCACAAGGTTAACGCACAATTTGGTATATTTGATATGATTTTAATTTAAGATCACAAAATTTAAAAATCTTCTTTATTTTCTTAAACTCTGTGTCAAGTTAAATTATATCACTCCTTTTAAAATAAAGTATTACTAAATATAAAAATGCATCATTTCTTTTGCGCAAATTGAAAAAGGATGTGTATTGTATAAATTGGAGAGGAAGTGATTGAATTTATTAAAGAAGGTAGGGTAAGTATTGAGAAATTATACGAAGATTCCTTTTATGCTAGTAACATGCTAGTAAAGGTCAACCAGTCATTAGATTGATCCATTTACCTACACAACTACAAAAATCCCTTTGCTTGACAAATGACAAGGAAATGTATATATATTCATATGAATATGGTAATGACATGCAATAATTTTATTGAAAAGTCAACTCTATTAGTACTCCATTATAATCATATCATAAAGTATTTAATCTTATCACTAGCCAACTTGTTTAAAGCCAGCTCTTGCATGGAAAAAGTTCAAATCATGCATGGTAGAACTTCATATCTAATTAGTATTATAAATAACCAATACGTGTCACACAACAATACCATCAAATCAAGAAAAGAAAATACTACAATTTGTGTGTACTCAATTTTCAACAATTAATGGCTTTCCCAAGGCTAATTTTCTTGTTAGTTCTTGCAATAATTCCTCTTTGTAATGCACAAGGCTTGAAACTTGGCTATTATCAGAAAACATGTCCAGGAGCAGAGGCTATTGTGCAAAAAATAACTTCACATTACATCTCTAGAGCACCAACTCTAGCTGCTCCTCTTCTTAGGATGCACTTTCATGATTGCTTTGTTAGGGTACGTAATTTAATTTGTTTTGTTTTGTTTTCATCTCCATCTCCATATCCTATTATGAGTTAGTATAACCACTACTAGAAACAACCGGTCTTTCCCATAGCAAATCAGTAAAAAATTTGTGTTACATAACATAATTGTCCACCTAACCAGCTCACTGGAAAAATACTTGGTGTGAAACAGATTGTTGACATAGTACAAAACTTCCTAATAATTTCTTTTTATATGAAAACATTATTATTGTTTTTTTTTTGTCTCACCAATGTTATTTTGAATTACCATGTTATTTGTTACATGTTAATTACTTATCATAGAGATGTAACCTATAGTGTAAACATACCATGTGTTTGTGCTCGCGCACCCATTAACTTTTTAGTAATAACTTCAACTTTTTCATACTTGTGACATAAACTCATATCATTATTCCTTTTTATAAAAATTATTTGTACAGGGATGTGATGGATCTGTACTGCTAAACTCAACAAAGAACAATCCAGCAGAAATAGATGCATTTCCAAATCAATCTCTTAGAGGATTCCAAGTAATTGAAGCTGCCAAATCTGAATTAGAACAAAAGTGTCCTGACGTTGTTTCTTGTGCTGATATTCTTGCTTTAGTTGCAAGGGATGCAATATCATTGGTAATTATTAATTAAAGACTAATTAATTATGTTAATAATTAAGAAGAAAAAAGTTATTGTTAATTTTTACATTAATTAAGGTTTTCTAATTTTATAGATTAAAGGACCATATTGGAATGTTCCTTTGGGAAGAAGAGATGGAAAAGTATCAATCATGTTGGAAGCCCTTTTCAATTTACCTCCTCCTTTTGCCAATATTACTACTCTTAAAGCTCAATTTTCCTCTGTTGGTCTCAATGCAAAAGACCTAGTTGTTCTATCAGGTAATATGTATTAGGGTACTGTTAATTGAACGGATAGAACTGAAATTTTAATAGATTGTATAGTAAATTAAAAGTTGGATCATAATTCATTCTAGTTAACTCTTAATTTTAACTTATTTGTTTATTCTCTTATAATTTGTTTATTACTATGTTCTACCGTTTAAAAAAGAATGATCTCCTTTTTTTTTTAGTTTGTTTAAAAAAAGAATGATCTCTTTCTTTTTTCGGTAACATTTTCACTTTAGCTTTTCATGTGACATGTTTAAGGTCACAAGATTAAAGGACAATTTTGTACATTTGACATAACTTTAATTTAGGACCACAAGATTCAATAGTCTTCTTTATTTACTTAAACTCTATTTCAAGTCAAACTAGGTCATTCTTTGTGAAACAGATGAAGTATCTAAGAAAACAATTTCGTTATTATATAACATACTAAAAAAGTTCATAAATTAACCAATTGCATGTTGTTCAGGAGGGCATACCATTGGAAATTCTCATTGTTCATCCTTCACAAGTAGAATATACAACTTCACAGGCAAAGGGGACAGTGATCCAACTATGGATGCTAACTACGTTGCCCGTTTGAAGAGTAAATGCACGTCAAATAATGACGTGAAAACCATAGTTGAGATGGATCCAGGAAGTTTCAAGACATTTGATGGAAGTTATTATAGTCTTGTGGCAAAAAGGAGAGGGCTTTTTCAATCTGATGCCGCCCTACTTGATGATAATGAGACTAAAGCTTATGTCAAATTACAAGCTATGTCTCATGGATCGACCTTTTTCAAAGATTTTGCTGAATCAATGGAGAAAATGGGAAGGATTAGCGTTTTAACTGGCAAAGCTGGTGAAATTAGGAAGCATTGTTCCTTCATAAATTAATTTAACTAGGGCAAATTATCTCTTCATATCTTTCTCTATGTTTTCCTTTTTTAATTTGCCTTCTTGATTATTATTATATTTTCCTTATGGTTTAGTTATTTGGTCTATGAAATTAATATTCTTACATTTTGATTATTTATATGTACTCCTATTCGATATAATAATAATAATAATATTAATAATAATGATTGTGGTTGAATTATAAATTGTAATGCAACATTGTCTGTTTTTATTCATGATATTTTTTACGTCTCAATTTGATAAACATAAACACTTTTCTTATATTATCCTTTTTCATATTAGAAGTTTAAGAATGAAAGTATGGGTTTTAAAATGTATGACCTAAAATAAATATATTTAGAGGTGAACTAGACATAGACAACTTGCTTAGAAGTGTAGCATTATTGACTTTAGCCAAGGCCTTGGTGAAGACATTTGGAATTTGTGGTAATGTGATGGAGTGCGATCATTCCTTGTTGATTCCTTGTTGAAGATTCCTTGTTGAAACTTGGTTTTAATGAAATAGCAGTCTATCTCTACATGTTTAGTTCTTTCACGAAATACTAATTTTTTAACAATGAGTATTTTGCCTCACTGTCACAAAAGACAAGTATAGGCAAAGAGCCTTTCACTATCAACTCAGCAAACGATCTCTCAAGCCATAATGGAGATCGAAATGGGTTTAAAAAAGAATACACAATGTGGACTAGTCATGGAGATATTAATAATAGTTTTGATGTATTTCAACATTATGTTCCTGGTGAAAGTAGTAGTGAAAATTATAGAATGCATGACATGGTTCAGGATGCGCTTGGGGTGCATTCTAATTTTGAATCTCGTAATCAAGGTGAAAAAGCTCCTAATGCTGAATGTAAAATTTTCTTTGAACAATTGGAAGCTGCTAGTCGGCCTTTATATGAGGGGTGTCCATACTCACAATTGTCTATTGTTGTTAGATTATTAAGTATAAAATCAGATTGGAATGTTTCTCAAGGGGCAATGGACTATATGATTGAGCTTATGCATGATTTAGTTGACCCAAATCTAGAGATACCTGATAATTTCTATAAGGCAAAGAGGTTGTTATCAAAATTAGGAATGACATCGCTGAGATTTCATTGTTGTGAAAATGGTTGCATGTTATACTATAAGGATGATATTGATCTAGAATCGTGTAAGTTTTGTGAAAAATCTCGTTATAAGGGACTCCTAGCGGGAAGAAAGTTCATATTAAGGCAATGCATTACTTATCTCTTATACCAAGGTTAAAGAGGTTGTCTGCATCTAATAGCTCTACTCCTCACATGAGATGGCACCATGAAAATAGAAGACCACCTGGTGTTATGTGTCATTCTTCTGATGGAGAGGCCTGAAAGCATTTTGATAGAACATATCCACAGTTTGCGGCCGAACCAAGGAACATTAGATTGGGTTTATGTTCAGATGGATTCATGACACATTTTGTTTCTGCTGCACCATATTCTTGTTGGCCAGTATTTGTAACACCATATAATCTTCCACCTGAGATGTGTATGACTAGTCCATATATATTTCTCAACTGTGCCATTCCTGGCCTACGAAATTCAAAAGTTTTGATTGATGTATACCTGTAACCTTTAATTGATGAGTTGAAATAGTTGTGGATTCATGGGGTTGAAACATTTGATGTGTCTCTTAAGCAAAATTTCAAATTGTGGGCTGCCTTAATGTGAATTATTAATGATTTTCCTGCGTATGGAATGTTGTTAGGGTGGATGACAGCGGGAAAGTTGGCTTGTCCTTACTGTATGGAAAATACTAATTCATTCACTTTGAAACATGGTCGTAAAAATTGTTGGTTTGATTGTCATCGACAGTTCTTGCCAATGGATCATGAGTTTAGGAGTATGAAAAAATTCATTCAGAAAGAATACTGTTGAACAAAGTTGTCCACCTCCAATCTTGACTGGAGAACAAGTTTGAGAGAGGGTTCAACACTTTCAAAAGGTTACAGAAGAAAAACCATACAAATTTGATGGGTATGGTGTTGCACATAATTGGACATAACAAAGCATATTCTGGGAGTTACCATATTGAAAGGATAATCTTCTTCCACATAATCTTGATGATGTCATGCATATCGAAAAAAATTACTTTAATAATTTATTCAACACATTAATGGATGTCAATGTCAAGACAAATGATAATGCTAAAGCTAGAATGGACTTACCAGAATACTGTAGGCGAAAAAAGATATGATTGCAAGAGAAACAAAACAACAAGTTCTTTAAGCCTAAGGCTAGTTATTCATTTACACTGGATCAAAAGCATAAAATATGTGAATGGGTCGAGCAACTTAAGATGCCTGATGGACATGCTTCAAATTTGGGAAAACGTGTCGATATGGAGCATGGAATATCACATGGTATGAAAAGTCATGATTGTCATGTCTTCATGGAAACATTACTCCCTGTTGCGTTTAGTGGTTTGCCCGATAGAATTCGGAAACCAATGACGGAAATTAGTTTGTTCTTCAAGGACTTGTGTTCTAATACGTTAAGGGAAGAAAACCTAGTTCAGATGAATCAGAATATTCGTATAATTACAAATAAGTTGGAGAAGATTCTTCCACCTAAATTTTTCGATGTGATGAAGCATCTTTCTGTACATTTGGTGCATGAAGCACGTCTTGGAGGTCCAGTTCAATATAGATGGATGTAACTATTTGAGAGGTAAGTGTTTAACTCTTAATATTCTTACATCAATATTTTGTTAAAATCAATCATAATATAATATAATGTAGTACTATTGGCAAGTCTAAACAGGTCATGAAGCAAAAACATAGACTTAAAGGATCAATGGTTGAATTCCATCTTGCTAGGAAGATAACTAATTTTGGTTCTTATTACTTCAAAAGTAGTGTTCCATGCTTGCAAAATAGACCCAATTGCTATGACGATGATGGTGAGACTGGGAAGCTATTATCAATCTTTAATCAACCAGGCAAAGGTTCAAAAAAACGTGCAAGGAGGAATTCTTAATGCCATGGAGTTTAGGTCTGCCTCGACACATGTCTTGTTGAATTGCCCACAAGTTAAACCATTTCTTGAGTAAATTATTATTTTTGCAGTAAAATATGTAATTACAAGGCAAAATGACTGACTTAATATCCATCTACTTTGACAACTACTTCGTGCATTTATTTGACAATGAAAAAGTGTGTGAGCATTTTTCAAAGTGGTTTCAAGATTACGTAAGCCTTATTATATTTTCATAATGCTATTGTTATTAAATAAGTCTATATTTAATTGATACTAATTTTCTACTTTTCAAATATTTATAGGTTTATGACACAAAAAATGGTTAATTTGATTAATTTTTGAAGGACCTTTCTTGGGGACCCATCAAGATTTATTCAATGGACAAGTATCTTGTCAATGATTTTAAATTAAATACTGAAGAATGCTTCAAATATAAAAAAAACTAACAATAGTAGAGTTTGGGTGAAAGGTAATAATGGAAATCAAGATGGAGTTGATTATTATGGGGTACTCAAAGAGGTTTGGGAAATGGAGTATTCTGGTGTACCGAGTAGATATGTGTATGCCTATGAAATGCCGCAACAAACCTTTCGTGAATTTTCTTCTGAGTTTGAAGAACTAAATAGTTCTGGTGACAATGAATTGATGAAGAAAAATTTGACGATGGAGCAAGAAATTGTTGAGTTATCTAGCCAAGTCGAAGACTCGCGGGCTAGGAAAACGCGGGCTAGGGAAAGGCGAAGGGACTTAGAGTTTGCGGGTCTTAAGGCTCAATTCGATGCATTACTTGCATCAGGAGGGATTCCCCCTTTTCCAATGATGTCACTTTTCCTCCTAGGCCCTTTCAATCTCAACCTACTCGATATCCAGTGTATGATCAACAAAGAAATATGACAGATGAGTCTAGTAGTGATGAAGAAGATGATGATCATGTGGCAGACCCACAACCACATTAGTGAAGTTTAGAGTTGTGAGTAGATAATCTAAGTTCTTTATTTTATAATTTTGTTATGGGAGTTATTTGTTTTGTGAATGCATGATAACATGAAAATATATTATATTAAACTTATGATTGTGATTTTTGTTTAATTTTGAATTACGTTGAAGGTGAGTTGCAATTGAGTTGATAAGGAAATATTTAGTAAATGTACTGCATCACTTCATTGTTTTAAGCTCTTTGAGCTTGATTTAGCTAATTAGAGAGGTACTCAATCAATATGATAGGTGATGAATGCTGCAGAAATAACAATTAGCTGCTAGTCTTTTTTCAGGAAAAGAGACCTCATTAGGTCTCCTTTTTGCATCTTATTTTCCAGAAATTTCATGTAAGAGACCTCATGAGGTCTCTTTTCTGCATTTTTTATTTTCCAAAAATTTCACAAAAAAGAGAGCTTATGAGGTCTCTATTCAACATTTTGTATTTTACAAATGCAGTAAAGAGACCTGATGAAGTCAATTTTTTCATGAATGAGGTCTCTATTACCTGATGAAGTCAAATTTTTTATGAACGAGGTCTCTATTTAGCATTTTATTTTTTACCAATACAGTAAAGAGACCCCGTGCAGTCTCTTTTTGCATCATGAAAGAGACCTCATGAGGTATCTATTCAACATTTTATTTTTGTAGTAAAGAGACATCACGAGGTCTCTTTTTTTAAATATAAAATAAAAATAAATAATATAATAGTGACCTCATGAAATTACCTTTATTAAAAATTAAAAAAAAAGTAAATTATGAAATTACAACCTCATGAGGTCTCTTTTTTAAAAAATTCGGACAATTTATTGGTGACCTCGTGAGGTCTCTAATCGGCGATTTCATGAGGTCTCTACTAAAAATCACCTACATTATAGTGACCTACCGCTGAGGTCTGTTTTTTGGTTTCTTTTTTCCGAAAAGAAACCTCATGAGGTCTCTTTTGTAAGTCTCTTTTTACTGCTTTTTTAGTAGTGAGAGCACCCCTTGTGATTTTTTATAAAATAAAGAGTAGTCATCAATTAAGTAGGTGTATCCTTTTGAGCAAAGAATGTTGGCTAATTTATCATATCATTGTCTGCTGGCTTGCTTTTAAG